ACTGGGTTACTAACTTTAACAAACTGCAGGGATTCGCTTAAGAACCGTAGCAAGGAAAGGTTGTAAAATAATGGGACAAAATTCCTTTAACAAATGTCTGGTTTAGGCACAGACATTTTGGACTCTGTTGTGGTCGTTAAGTCGAGGACTACCTGTGCTTTGGCCACCAAATGAGACGAGAAGAGAGGAATTCTAGGAGAAGACCCTCCTTTCTGAGGGTTTCAAGGCTGAGTCCAACCAATTTGAGGATTTGTGTCTAGTTTTTAGCAGTCTTATATGCACCAAAGATAAATTCCTTGTGTGTCCAATCACACTTGGCCAATAAAGAATTCTATTCTATATTCTATTCTATTCCATTCCATTCTATTCTTTTCTATTCTATTCATTCTTATTCTATTCCACTCTACTCTACTCTATTTCATCCCAATATTTCTATTCTGTTCTGTTCTGTTCTATTCTGTTCTATTCTTCATTCCACTCTATTCTATCTCATTCCAATATTTCTACTCTACTCTACTCTACTCTACTCTACTCTACTCTACTCTACTCTACTCTACTCTATTCTTCATTCCACTCCACTCTACTCTTATTTCATCCCAATGTTTCTACTCTATTCTATTCTCTTAAGAGCGCCTTCTGCTGTACTTACCAATTTATTGGGACTGAACGCCCTCTGCTGGCTATTGACTGCTCTGAATCCACATCTGGGTTTCTGGCAGTCCCGCACTTTATTTTATTTTATTTATTTATTTGATTTGTCAATCGCTTACAAGATAATAGGTATAAGTATATACATAGTTATGAATACATGAAATGGGTACATATAAGAAAAATAAAAGAAACAATAGGACAGGGACGGTAGGCACGTTGGTGCGCTTATGCACGCCCCCTACAGACCTCTTAGGAAAGGGGTGAGGTCAACAGTAGACAGTCTAAGGTTAAAGTTTTTGGGGTTTGGGGAAGAAACCACAGAGTCAGGTAGAGGATTCCAGACATTGACCACTCTGTTGCTGAAGTCGTATTTCCTGCAATCAAGTTTTGCGGTTAACCTTGAGTTTGTATCTCTTGTTTGCTCTTGTGTTGTTATGGTTGAAACTGAAGTAGTCATTGACAGGTAAGTCATTGCAATGTATGATTTTATATACCATGCTTAAGTCAGACCGAAGACGGCGTAATTCAAGGTTTTCTAGGTCTAGAATTTCAAGTCTGGTGGCATAAGGTATTCTGCAACGAGTAGAGGAGTGGACTTCCTCCAGAAGTTGTGAATGTTCTAACACTGGAGGTTTTTAAGAAGAAATTGGACAACCATTTGCCTGGAATGGTAGAGGGTCTCCTGCCTGAGCAGGGTGTTGGACTAAATGACCTCCAAGGTCCCTTCCAACTCCATTATTGGGAGTTGAAGTCCACAAGTTATAAAGGGACCATTGTTCCCTACCCCTGCACTAGGTAGAGAAAGTGTCAGATGTGATTTATACATCTGGCTGCCTATGCAACAAAGCAATTTCAGGTAGTCCTCAGGTTACGACCACAATTGAGTCCAAAGTTTCCATAACTTAAGCGAGACAGTTAATTTTTACCCCATTTCCTAACTTCTACTGCAGTTATGAAGTTAGTAACACAGATCTTAAGTGTGGTGACTCAAAGGGGCGTGACACAAAGGCAACACAGTCAAATAATCAAGAAGAGTCCCTTTATCATCTTCAACTTTGCCCCCAATGTCCAGGTTAGCTTCTGGCCGGGGAAAAACTCCCAGCAACAGCCTTTAACTGTAGAAAATTCAGTCCAAAACAGGGTAAACATAAACTGTAACTTAAATTCCAAACAAGCCAAACTGAAATAATTAGTTTGGCAGGGCAGGAGCAAGAATTTCAAACTTGAAAGTACGGCAAAACTCACACAGTTGGGAAGATGCCAGTAACACAGATAAGCCACCATGATACAAGATAAATTCACGTTTGCTCCCAACAGCCTGCTGTGTACAGCTTCCTTTTTTATAAACTGTGTTCCCAGGTGTGGCTAATGAAGGGAATCAGGGCCCTTTCCTCCCCTGTAAGCCACGCAACCCACGTTGCTCCCTTCTCCGTTCCTCCCTGCGTGTCCTAGGATAAAGAGGGGGTGGGCCTGGGTCTTCCTCTGAATTCCCTCTCCCTTGTTCTACCTCTCTCCTGCTCTGCCCAGCTGGACTTTGCCCTTCCCCAGTTTCCTCCACAGCCAGTGGAGCCACACTCCCACTCCCTGTCAGCTGTTCAGCTTCCTCCTCGCATTCAGACTCCAACAGGGGCATGACATTAAGTGAATCATGCGTCCCCATTGATAGCTCATCAGAAGGTTGCAAAAGGGGATCAACCGTCATAAATACAAGCCAAGCATCTGAATCTTGACCACGGGGATGCTACAATGGTCGAAAGTGTGAAAAACGGTCCTAAGAATTTTTTTCCTGCGCTATTGTAACTTCAAACTAAAAGAATGGTCGTAAGTCAAGAACTACCGATATTAAAGATTGTTTGGAGTTCGTAATTTCCTAATGGAACCCTTGATGGCACCTTGAGGAGTGATAACTTACACTTTCGAGAGGTTTGTGTTAGGAGCAAGAATTAATTCAGTAAAATTCAAGAACCTTAAAAAGTTTTAGCTTGCCTGTGAGTGTCTCTTTACTAAGTGTGTCAGTGTCTTTAAAACTTGGGCAATTTTAAGATATGTGGACTTCAACTCCCAGAATTCCCCTGCCAGTATGGCTGCCTAGGGAATTTTGGGAGTTGAAGTCCACACATATTCTCTAAGGAATTCTGTTCTGACCCAAACCTAGTTCCAAGGAAACACGAAACACAAAACGGAGGTAGCAGCAAAACCTTTTATTGATTCTTTACGGATTCCGTTCCTTCCCGGTTCAAAGGCTGTTTCAAACTAATCGTCTCTGATAAGGACGAGCCTTGCCAAAGTTGTGCAATGCTGCCAAGAACACAAGATAAAGTTGCTAAGAAATATTCCAAAGAGTCTCCAAACACCAACCAAGATAGTCCGAACATCCACAAGACTGGAAGTGCAAGAACTTCTTTGCTTCCTGCAAAGAACTCCAGTTTCTCAGCTGGCTTTTATCTCCTCAGGGAGGGGCCATCACCTTGCAGCCTTACTCCCAAGTCTCCTGTGCTGCTGCAGCTGCTCTTTCCTTCGAGCAGCCCTGCATGCACACACACTGAGCACAGGCTTCTCGGGGGCCTCTTCCTCACTGCTGCCAGCCTCCACCATCTCCGAAGGCCGCACTCCACTCCCTGAGGGTCCTGGCCCCATCCCTGCATCCCACTCAGGCCCCTCATCCGAGTCCTCACTCTCCGAGACCTCAGCCATCCGCATCTACTGCTGGTGAACCACAACAAATTCTTGGAGTTAAAGTTCACACATGCTGGCTAAGGAATTCTGAGAGTTGGTCCATATCTGCTGGCTGGGGAATTCTAGGAATTGAAATCCACACATGGTGGCAAGAGAATTTTGGAATTTAAGTTCACACATATTGGCCGGGGAATTCTGGGAGTTGAAGTCTACATATCTTAAACTGAAAAAGGCTTGGGTTTTAATGGTTAACCTGGACAAACTCTTTTCTCGCATTCTTCATGTTTAATTTAATTTTAATTTTCTTTCATTTTCCTTCATTTCTTTTCCTTGTTTTTCAGCCTCCAGGCGAATACCGTCTAATCTGGATAACGGCCGACCTTGTTTCCTTTGTCATAATTGTAGGGATTTTTATCTTCCAGAAGTAAGTAGCGCCTACCGATGACTTTGTAATGTTGTTAGATTCTTCCCAGCGACGTCTGGAGCTCCTTTGAGGGGTGGTAGCAAAATTGTCCCATCACCTTGTTTCAATCAGGGAATAGAAATAGAAGCCAAACTTCCTCCCAACTGGTGAGTTCACGGCCATGCAAGGATTTAGCACTTGAAGGGGAGAAATAAATTTTAGAGGATTACAAATTGTGAGGTGCTTGGTGCTCTCCGACCTTGGTAGTTTTCTTGCAGACGTTTCATCACCCAACTAGGTAACAACATCAGCGTTGAAGGGGGAGTGGGTTTTGCTCTCTGTTTATATACAAGTGGCTTGTCCTGTCAGTATTGTTGGGAGTATTCTTGTTCCTAATTGTGGTGCTTCTGGTGGTCCCTTGTATAAGTGGTTCCTATGTAAATGGAGAACACACCCCACCCACTTCTAACACTGATGATGTTACTTAGTTGGGTAATGAAACGTCTGCAAGGAAATAACCAAGCTCAGACAGCACCAAGGACCCCACAATTCAACCCTGAGCAACAAATATTCTCTTCCAGGGAGAAATTCTTTCCTGACCTGCTTCCAAGGTTCAAATGCCTTAAAGTGGCATTTTCTCCTTTTCCCCAAGTTACTTGAAAACTAAGCTTAAATTTCTCCTAATTTTTAGCCTTCAGTGTACAATTTTTTTTAAAAAAAGAAACATACAACTTGGAGAAAAGAAGATGAAAAGAGGAGACAAGGGGGAAAAACTTGCAGACAGTTTTAAAAAAGAAGACACCGCAAATGGCTGGAAAAGCAGAATAAATCCATTGGTTTAATGTTGGGCAGATTTGAGGTAAATAAAATATCAGTAAGCTCCTGAACTTTGGGATAAAATTCTCATGCCTTTTTGAAGGTACTTTGTCAAGAGATTCATCATGGTTGGCTGGGGAATTCTGGGAGTTGAAGTCCACCCATCTTACAATTGCCAAGATTGAAAAAAAAATAAACCAGTTTCATAGCCCAAGTCTAGGTTTCATTAAAAGGGATTGATACAGGAGGAAAGAAGTTTTCCCAATTGTTTTATTTTCAAACAAACTTAAAATAATTTTGTCCTCATCTTGCAGGATTCCGGGGAAAGAACATCAAAATTTCAAAGTATCTGGTCTTGGTTGCCTCTTGATCTTTAATTAATTAAATGCATTTATTTATTCAGTGCGTTTTCCCCCTCGACTGCCAGCAACTCTGGACAGTTTACAAATGGTTAAAAACTTTGAAAACCAAGGGAACCACAGCAAAATATTCTTTAAGTAGAGAATTATTTGTCGCTCAGGATTGAACTGTGGGGTCCTTGGGGCTCTCTGAGCTTGGTGGTGGTTTTTCTTGCAGACGTTTCGTGACCTAACTAGGTAACAGCGTCAGTGCTAGAAGGGAGCAGTGCTTGCTTTCTGCAAGCAAGCCCCTTGTTTATAAACAGAGAGGAAACCCGATTCTCTTCTGGCACTGATGATGTTACTTAGTCCGGTTATGAAAGGTCTGCAAGAAAACAACCTCAGAGAGCATCAAGGACCCCACCCAAAAAATATTCACTTACGGATCTTTATTCATGGCCGAAATAGCCATGGGAATAAAGAGAAGGAAGAAAAGGGTTTTTTAAATCCCCCTTTCCAAAGTCCTGGGGTGTCTTTAGGGCCAATAGGGTGGGATTTCTGGGTTATTTTCCTTACTTGCTCTGACATTTCTCTGCATGTCCTTTCCTCCTCTTCCTCTTTCTACTGCTGCATTTCGGCATCTTTACAGCTATCACTTAATCAGGTAAATGTTGGGACCTCCTCTCTCATTTCACCTCCATCTCTAGTTTGGTTTTTCCTACCCACCCCTTTAACTTCCCTGGTGAGTGTTGCGGGTAATAGGGGGGGAAGCCAAGCCAGTGTCTCCAAGTTAAGGGGAAATGGAATATATATACACACACAGACATGTATATATACATGTACACACACACACACACACACGTATGGTATTCAGCTTTGTTCGGGTGTTTTCCCACGTCATTATAGTTGTGCTTTTAAAGTTGATGAACACAATACAGAAGCCTGATGATGGCAGATGAGATTCTGCCGAAACGTTGCTACAACTTTAAAAGCACAACTACAATGACGTGGGAAAATACCCGAACAAAGCTGAATATCATACACATAAATACCCGTGAAAACTTAAGAAAACAAATATACATATATATATATATACACACACACACACACACACACACATATTACATATCAGTGTATAGATGGCATAAAGTTTTGCGCTTTCTGCACACAAAAGCAATCAGATCTACAGTGTATACAGATAACAGATAATCAGAGTTGGAAGGGACCTTGTAGGTCATCTAGTCCAACCCCCCTCCCAAGCGGGAGACCCTACCCCATTTCTGACAAATAGCAGCCCAATCTCTTCTTGAAAGTCTCAAGTGATGAAGCTCCCACAACTTCCGAAGGCGACTTCTGTTCCATCCGGTTGATTGTTCTCACTGTCAGAAAGTTTCTCCTTATTCCCAGGTTGAAAAATCTCTCCTTGATCAGCTTCCATCCGTTGTTCCTTGTCTGGCCTTCGGGGGCCTTGGAAAATAGCTTGACCCCTTCCTCTCTGTGGCAGCCCCTCAAATATTGGAAGGCTGCTCTCCTGTGTCCCCTGGTCCTTCTCTTCCCTAGACCAGCCAGGCCCAGTTCCTGCAATTGTTCATCGTATGTTTGAGCCTCCAGTCCCCTCATCATCCTGGTTGCTCTTCTCTGCACTTTTTCCAGTGTCTCAACACCTTTTTTATAGTATGGTGACCATAACTGGATGCAGGACTCTAGGTGTGGTCTTACTAAGGCTTTATTTAGTGGTATTAGTACCTCCCTTGATCTCAGTTGTATCCCTCTGTGAATGCAATTTAGGATTGCATTGGCTTTTTTGGCTGCTGCTGCTGCACACGGCTGGCTCCTATTTAGATCTCTCTGCTTTCAACCCTGTTGAACTCTTTAGTCCATCTCACCCAGCTTTTTCAGAGCTGGTGCCCTCCAGTTAGGTTGGACACCAAGCCCCATCATCCCCCTGCAGCATCCACGTGCTCGGTTACGACTTCCCAGGGTCACATCTGGGAAAGGGGCGCTCATTGTCTTCTTTATTGGGACGTTTTATAGAAGCAAATCTCCATAAACAAGTCAGAGGGGATATAAAAAAATAAAATTAAGAGGGAGCCTTGATGCTTTGTGAATCCTGTGGGATTGATCCCCTAGCCTTTTGTTCTTGATTTGCAACTCCAGCCAGGAAAAAAAAAAGCAATGAGCTAAATGTGTTCAATTTCGTTTTTCTCAGGGCAGCTAAATTTTATTTTTCATTTTATTGTTTTACTCATATCCTGCCTTTATTATTTTTGCAAAGAACTCAAGGCAGCAAACATATCCGATGCACCTTCCTCTTCCTAGCTTCACTGCAACAACAACCCTGTGAGGTAGGCTGGAGTTACAGAGAGAGGGACTGCCCCAAAGTCACCCAGCTGGCTATCATGGCTAAGGCGGGACTAGAACTCACCATCTCCTGGTGATTGGCCCAAAGTCATCCAGCAGGCTTTCATGGCTAAGATAGGAGTAGAACTTTAAAAATTATGACTATGTATTTAGTGAATGAATGAATGAATGAATGAATGAATTCTTTATTGGCCAAGTGTGGTTGGACACACAAGGAATTTGTCTTGATGCAAATTGTCTCAGTGTACATAAAAATAAAAGAGACATTCGTCAAGAGTCAAGAATCATCAGGTACAACACTTAATGATAGTCATAGGGTACAATAAGCAATCAAATCATACTAGGAAACAGTCCATATAAATCGTAAGGATACAGGTGACAAAGTTACAGTCATATAAGTGGGAGGGGATGGGTGATAAGGAGTGATGAGAAGATTAATAGTGATAGTAGTGTAGATTTTGTCAATAGTTGAACAGTGTTGAGGGAGTTATTTGTTTAGCAGAGGGATGGCATTGGGGAAAAACGTGTCTAGTTGTTCTGGTGTGCAATGCTCTATAGCAGCGTTTTGAGGGTAGGAGTTGAAACAGTTTATGTTTGGGATGTGAGGGGTCTGTAGATATTTTCACAGCCCTCTTTTTGACTCGTATACAGGTCCTCCATGGAAGGCAGGTTGGTAGCCATTGTTTTTTCTGCAGTTCTAATTACCCTCTGGAGTCTGTGTCTGTCTTGTTGGGTTGCAGAACCAAACCAGACAGTGATAGAGGTTGTAGATGACAGACTCAATCATTCCTCTGTAGAACTGTTATGTCCATCTGTGTGGGTCAGGGGCCTTTGCTGCCTTGAATTTCTTGACCGTTTTCTGAGCTGACGGCATTTCTGGATCGGGAGCAGCCTAAGACCAGTGCATCCCTCCAACATACCATATTTTGCCGAGTGAGGAAGATAACGCTTGATTGCTGCCACCCACAACAAAACAGACATGCAAGTAGTCCTTGGTTTATGACCGTAATCAGGCCAGAATTTCCATCGCTAGGAAAGGTGGTTGCTAAGTATTTTATGACCACCTTTGCCATGATTAAGTCAATCACACAGTCGTTAAGCAAATCTGGCTCCCCCCCCCCCCCCACTCCATTGACTTTTTCTTTCAAAGCTGCCTGGGAAAGTCGCAAATAATGATCACATCACTCCCCTTCCTGGGACTCTGTAACTCTTGTCATTACATGCCAGTTGCTAAGCGCCCAAATTTTGATCATGTGCTTCAGTGGTCCTAAACGCGAAGACCAACTCCAAGCCCGTTTTTACAGTTGTAAATGTGAACCGTCGCTTAAACAAAAGGTTATAACTCGAGGACTACCTGCAAAAACACCGGTAGAGATTTTTTGTTCCACAATTTTTGCCCTTCCTTTACACGGACTGGGTTGTAATCACATTGTGGCTTGAAATCTCGAGTCCCTCTTTTTTTAAAAAAAAATCTTTTTCAAAGGTTGGGTGGGGAGATATATGCCCAGACCATCCTCTTCCTCCCGCCTCATCCAGGTTGCCTCTGTGCACATCTGTGCTTTCTCCATGTTCCCTGGCATCTCTTCTCTCTTTCCTCATCTTTGCAAAAATCAGCTCTTTTTTTGGTTTTTTTATTTTTGTTTTACTTTGCCAAAGAGGGGGCAGGGTTGGTAAACAAGGAAGACGGAGGAAAATTCGAGCTGGGGTTGTTTTACAGTGGTGGTCTTTTAAGTGGCACGGAGAGCTTGGAGCCGTTAGAAAAGCACCTCTCGAGTTTCAAAGAGCAATGGATGATTTTTTTTGGGGGGGGGGGTGTTGTTTGCTTGTTCCCTTCACCGCAGAGGGGAGGTGTAATCAAAGCCACAGTCCAGCAACATTTGGCGTGGAAGGGAGATTTATAACTTCCACACCACAGTTTTTAATTTGGGGATTACTTCTGATTTTAAAGTCCTAATGGGAGCATCCAGTTGCCCCAAAATAAAAGGGAGGTTTTTTAAAAGTTATACGATGAAAGAACAGTCCTGTTTTCCCTATTTTTATTATCACTTTTGATGCAGGCTAACAGGACATTGGTGTTCACTTGGGACCCAAGGGTAGCCCCAATTTGTACAGGTAGACCTCAACTTAACAACCACAACTGAGCCCAGAACTTCCATTCTTAAGCGAGACGGTTGTTAAGTGAGCTTTGCTCCATTTCACAACCTTTCTTGCCCCCGTTGTTAAGGGAATCGCGGCAGCGGTGTAAATTAGTAACACAGTTGTTAAGTGACTCTTGGGTTCCCTGTTGACTTCGCTCGTCTGAAAGTCGTAAAAAGGGGAATCACATTGCGACCGTCGTAAATCCATGCCGGTTGCCAAGAGCCTCTGAAGTTTGATTGTGTGACCATTGAGATGCCGCAACGGTCATACCTGCGAAAACTGGGCATAAGTTCACTTTGGTCAGTGCCACTGCAGCCTTGAACGGTCCCTAAACAAAACTGTTGTAAGTTGAGGACTATCTGTAGAAAGTGGGAAACATGGATTTAAATAAGATTTCATAAGTGACCCAGACAGGGCAGATAGGCTTTGTGTATCAAGAAGGTACAATGATCCAGATTTGAGGGGAAGGGAGAATATTTGGAGGGTACCCCCAACTCACCAGCAACCCCTAAAAACAGCCGCCATTGTGCGGTGATCTCAGATGCCCAAGGGGTTTTCTTGTTCAACTTCAAACCACATTTTCCCTCTTTAAATCTGGATTTTTGGCCAACCGACCATGTGTTACGCGATTGCATCCCCCACAAAGTCCCCCTTTGTTTATTGGGCATCTCCGTGTTTTGTGTTAGGTTTTTCTGCATGTTTTTATGGTTTGATTTTCTTTTGTGGTGTGGGTGTCCCATCTTGAGCGCCCTCGGGGGCAAGGAGAGTTGGGGTCCCTAGCCTTTTATTCATTATTCTCTCCTGCCCTTTCTCCAGAACTCGGAATAGCAAACATAGCACACCCTATTATCAACCCTGCAAGATAGGCTGGGCAAGAGATAGAGATAGTTTCCAGGGCTCAGGAAAGAAGGGAATTCGGGTTTTTCCAACCTGAAGCATTTCAAACATTTATTTTATTTAAACAATTGATATGGCTGCCCATCACAGCAGAATAGTATTTATTCTGACTAGTGGCATTGTAGTAGAAACAATATCTTAATCACAGCAGCATTTGAAAGGTAGGAGGAGCAGTAGCAACGCTGTAAGAATAATAATTGATTATTTTATTTACAATCAGAGGTCTCCAAATTGGCAACTTTTTTTTAAAACAAATTTTATTAATTTTAAAGACAAACAAACCATCATTAACCATTAAATACATAAACCTCTTTCCATTATAAATTTTACAAGTCAAAAAACATTATTTTATACAACATAATTCTATTTTAGACCATTTCCATATGAACATACAAATATCTCTTATCAGATTTCTCCTTATTTCTCTTCACTCTTATTCAATTTCATTATTATTATTATTATTCTCTATACTTATCCAATGTATAATTATCATGTATTTCTCTCTGACTTGGTTACCATTATTCTCATCCTACCTTCCTGCAAGGTTTTATTAATTCTCCCACATACATAAACACACAAAACACAAAAATATAAGACATCTTTTAGGAAAGACTTGCGGACTTCAATTCCCAGAATTCTCCAGCCAGCATAACATAGCTGGCTGGGAAATTCTGGAAGTTGAAGTCCACGAGTCTTAAAGTTGCCAAGTTTGGGGACCCCTGATTTACATATTAGATTTATATCCCACTTTTATTACTGACATTAACTCAAAGTAGTGAACGTACCCAACACTCCTTCCTCCTTTTTCCCCTCAACAACAACCCTGTGAGGTGGGTTAGACTGAGAGAAAAGGGAAAATCATCCAGCCAGCTTTTTCATGCCTAAGGCAGGACTAGAACTCACAAACTCCTGGTGATGGGCCCAGAGCCCACAAGTCTTAAAAGAGGGACCAAGTTTGGAGATTGGGGGAAATCTGGGAGTTGAAGTCCACAAGTCTTAAAATGGCCAAGGTTTGGAGACGAGGGGAATTCTGGGAGTTGGTCCCCAAATGTCAGGCCTACCTCCCTTCAAAACCCAAGAAAGAAAACCCCCCGACTCCATTGAAATAGAGAAGATGTACTTTTACTGAGTTTGAAATGACAGCAGCAACAGCAAGGCAAGATCTGAGCCAAAAGGCACGAGAGTTACGTATTGAGAGTTCCCCCAGATCCCTTCCTTCAAGGGACCAGTCTGAATGTCCAATCCACGTCCCGCATAGTGTCATGGGGGAGCACATCTTCAGGTGTTCTCTGGAGTTCTAGGATGTTTGGCCCTGACTGGGTGCGAACAGCTCCCTTCCGCAGCGCAGGAATTCCTGAGAGAAAACCTCCCTTTTAGTTCACATGGGCCTTCTTCATCCAGGGGTGGGATTCAGCTGGTTCGGCCTGGTTCGCTTGAACCGGATGTTAGATTTAAATCCGGTTCGCCGAACCAGTAGTTGAACCGACCGGCCACACCCCTCCCAGGAGTCTCCCACGTGGCCCGTTTTGGATGCAGGTAAATGCCGGAGATTCTGGGAGGACAAAAAAATGGGCCAAACTGGAAGTCCGGAAATGGGCCTGTATCTGGAGCCCGGGGGAGGCTGTTTTCACCCTCCCAGAGGCCCGAGGGAAGCCTCTGGACTCTGGGAAAGGCGAAAAATGGCCCTCCCCGATAGGCCATGGCCACGCCCACCCAGCAACCGGGCAGAGAACCGGTTGCTGGGGTTTTTGAATCCCACCCCTGCCTTCTTCACACCAAACCCTACTTCCAAGACCCCAATGCCATGCCCCCCCCCCCCGTTACCATGGCAGCCGATAGCAAGCAAGCATCAAAGAGAAAAGCCACGCTGGAGATCTGGCTGACAACATCTCAAATTGGCCAAGTTTGAAGAACGGGGGAAGTTTTGGGAGTTGAAGTTCCACAAGTCTTTAAAGTGGCCAGATTTGGAGACCCCTGTTTTAGAAGGAGATGCAGCACAAGTGGGTTTCCGTTTGAGCCACTAGAAAAGGAATCCCAGAGGTTTCCCCTGAATCACACTGCCAAAATGGAGAAGAGATGGGAGGACTCACCATTTTATTCCCAGGCGTTATTTTCCTAGCTTGGAAAACCCCGGCTCCTGGTTCAAAATCTTTGCTCCTTCCTTGCAAGGGATTGCAAATTGGGGGAGGCTGAGAAACACTGCTTGCAAATCAGGGGAGTGGCAGAGAGCAGGTTTTCCCAAAACTGTCCAGAAAGGGTAAAAAAAAAAGATGGCAGTTGCCATCGTGCGGTGTGTGTGTGAAAAAAGACATGTGTCGGGATTCCAGCAATTGCCCTAATTAAATCATGATTCTCGAGCCAAACTTCAAAGGATTCATTAGAGGCGACATCCTGGCACTGCCCTGTAGGAAGCCAACTCTGGCCTATGTCATTTTCAGTCCCCTGTGACCCTGTTTCCTCCCTTCCCCCCGGGTGTTCTCCAACTGAGCACCTTCATGGGCTGGGTGTCATCAATCACATTCTCCAATTAAATATATTTGCGAGCAAAAGCTCTAGTAGTTACAACCTTTTAAAGATAAGAGTTGGAACATACTTCCGCTTATAAACTGCTGCCCTGCTCTTCCAAATTTCCTTCCTCCCTCCCCACTTTTTAATGGCAACTATTAAAACAGGCATAGGAATGTTTTATGAGTTGACAACACAGGGTTTTGCCCACGTGTGGTGGGTCGCTCCTTGGGCGGGCCCCGATCCAGTGGATCCCCTTCAAACGAGAACCTTTCCATTTTCCACTTTCTGTCCCAGGTGGCGCTTTGGGAGCATTCGCAGCTACAACCCGGAGCAGATCATGCTCAGCGCTGCCGTCCGGCGGTCCAGCCGTGATGTCAACATCATGAAGGAAAAACTCATATTTTCAGGTGAGAAGTTGAAGGCATGTTGGTAAGCTGACTTTTTGCCATCTGATTTTGGTGGTGTTGCTTACCCTGTGTGACGTTGCCCTGCTCCTGTCGGAGTCTGAATCTGAGGAGGAAGCCGGACAGCCGACAGGGAGCGGGAGTGTGGCTCTGTTGGCTGTGGAGGAAACGGGAAGGGCAAAGTCCGGCTGGGCAGAGCAGGGGAGAGGTAGAACAAGGGAGAAGGAGTTCAGAGTAAGACCCAGGCCCACCCCCTCTTCATCCTAGGGCACACAGGGAGGAACGGAGAAGGGAGCAACACATGTTGCGTGGCTTACGGGGGAGGAAAGAGCCCTGATTCCCTTCATTAGCTACACCTGGGAAGAGAATTGATAAGAAAGGCAGGCTGCGTGTGGCAGGCTGCTGGGAGCAAACATGACTTTATCCTATGTTGTCGTGGCTCATCTGTGTTCCTAGCGTCCTCCCAACCATATTGAGTTATTGCCGTGCCTTCATGTCTGAAATTCTTGCACCCGCCCTGCCAAACGAATTGCTGCATTTGGCCTCGTTTGGACTTTAAGTTACAATTTGTGTTGCTCATGTTTTGGACTTGATTCCCTGCAGCCCAAGGCTGTTCCTGGGCGAGTTTTTCTCCAGTCCAGAAGGTAACCAGGACAATTGGGGGGCAAAGTTGGAGCTAAGAAAGGGACTCTTCTTACTTATCAGACTGGGTTGCCATTGTGCCACGCCCCTTTGGGTCATCACAGACAAGTTCACTCGTTGGGTTTAGTGATCTCCTTGCGGCACAGCCGCCCCCCCCCCTCCATTTTTTGCTTTCCTGAGCCCCAGGGGAGCCTTCTGAGAGCAAAAACGCCTCCCCCGGAGGCTCACCCAAGGCCCAGAAGGTCCCCCAAAATGGGTGGGTGGGTATGGGTGCAAAAAAGGCAAAAAAAAAAAAAAAGCCACACCCACCCAGTCACATGGCCACCTAGCCACGCGCACAGAACCTGTAGTCAAAAGTTGTGAATCCCACCACCAGGTTGGGTTGTTTCTTGTAGACGTTTCGTTAGCCAACTAGGGACCCATCATCGGGGCTCAAACTCGCCTTCACTTGGGTCGCGAAAGGCCTGCGAGGGAACACCCCCCCCCTCCCCCCAAGCGCAAGAGAGGTCCTCGCTCCAACCCCGAGCTCCGAAGGTTCTCCCTTTCCTTCAGCCCAATTGTCTTTTGAACGCTGTCTTGCAGGTTCTAGCCTCTAGAGGGCGCCGGGCTCCCAGACTTGGGGGTTTTCTTCAGCCTGGAGCGTAAGTCTGCTTTCCAAAGGCTGCCATTAACCCCGGCACGGTGGCGGCGGGCGGAGGGGGCACAGCGGCAGGAAGGGGCCAGGGGGCAAATCTCGG